ACTTATTATCTTGTAAACAATTGGCAAATCAAATAAATAAATAAAAAATAAACATAGGCCAGAGTCAAAGAGTATAATGTTGAACAATATAAATGGCAAAACATGATCTCTCTCTGTCTCTCTTTTTTATCCATGCTTTTATACGGAGAATCTTGCATCATTTTTATTTTCTGAATGGTTCAGTAAGGTTCAATCAGGCCAACAGTTAGTAACTTGTTATCAGCTGTTTATCTTGCTGTTCCAGCAGACATTTGTCATCTCGGTACAAACCACACACCTACCTTGACAGTATCTTGGCCCTATATCGATACCAATTCAAACTATTTGTATTCTCTAGTTAGTTACATTTGTTGTTTTGCCAAGACTGTCTTCTTCATTATCAGTATTAATTGAGTTGAGGTATGACTGTTATTTATAGGTAGCACTAATGAAACAAATGCGTGAAGAGCAACAAAGACGGCGAATGGTGGAGACCAAGCGGAACCGGGAGATTGCCCAGTTGAAGAAAGAGCAACGTAGGCAAGAGGTGAACAAGAACATTTTTCCCCCTATTCTCCAATGTTTCCATCTTTGGGACCTTTTTTAGTAGAGTTGGTCAAAGAAGTGATATGGGTGGAAGAGAGAGAGGAGAATGAATTGAAAGGGAAGTTCTGATTTGATGTCTGTCTGAATTTATTAGGCCCTATAACTTTGACTGTACTACATTGATGTAGATATTGAAGATATAGGCAGAAGATCCATAAGTATTGGAGGCTTATGTAGAATTAACATAGTGCTGCTTCTCCTCCTTTATACATTCCATAAGTAGTTTAAATTATGTGCATACATAAAGCTGTGTTTCCATAATATCTACATCAGTAAATTATTCCATAGAAATATATCTCTACACTATATGTAGTTATTCAGAAAGGGGCCATTGTAGAAGATGAAGCCTAAACAAATTATGGTTATATTTTACATAATTTTATATTAGAATATATCACAATTAACAATGGAAAAGTGAGGTGTAAACTTAAAAATATACAATATTATAAACAAAAATATTGGTTTAACATCCAATATGGAATTGGAATCTAATGAGAATCCTGAACTTTTGATTTTGGTACTTTCTGCTGAAGGACCCAATACAATCCACAATGTAACATTTTAAGCATGTTTAAATATTTTAACCACTTTTAAAAATGAACAAGAAAGAAAACAAAGCAATTCCAAATGCTCCATTAAAAAAATCCATACTGTCTTGGATAGCTTTCCCCTCTCCAGATGGTCTACCATACAACAGCTGAATAAGAGCAGGGAGTTAAACTTCAGGGATTTTTTTTATTTTTTTTATTTTTGGAGCTGGGGTTTCAATTAGAGGAACTCCTGACAGCCTTAGAAAATAATTGCTAGAAGAAGCACTGATATTCCCAACAGTGCTACAAGAGTAAGATTAGATCTTAAGGAAAAAATGTGATGAAAGTTTGAAACCAGAGTTTTCCCATTTTATGATCCACAGTTTCTGTAGGCTGTATATAAATTTTATCTATTAATTCTTGATCAATAATCATGTTGTTACTTTCTATCTATAAATCCCATTGGACTGCAACAGGAAGCATAAGAGCTTTATCAGAGCAATCAGTGAAGCATTCTAAGGAAAGTTATTTCCTGGATGCTCCATTGTGGGATGTTATCAATATTTTTTCTCATTGTTCTTGCAGTATCAAATCCGAACTCTGGAATCTCAGAAGCGACAGCAGGAGATCGTCTTGCGCAGGAAAACCCAAGAGGTGAGGTGCAGGCTTAGGGTGCACAAGGATAGCAAATGATAAATCTCTGCTTTTTAAAAAAAAGTCCTTGCCAGTCTGCAACTTTGGAAATGTCTCCTTGTACTTGGATAATATGTGTGGGTTTCTTGAGTGTGGTTTGTTGGACCAATCACACATAGCCATTGAAACTGAAATCTCAGGTAAAGAATCAAGGAAAATGCTTATGAATCACGGGAACTCTGCATAGAGTGGGAGAGTGAGACCCCAAATGTACCTTTTGAGCATGTAAATGTATTAAACAGAATTATAATTTTTGTTTATCCAGACAAATCTGTAATTTCTGAGCACATCACTTGATTAGTGAAGTTGCTAAATTGGGTTTTAGCTTAGATAATTTGAGCTTGATTATAGATAATGTCTGGCATTTTGCATCATTTTCCAATGTTATCTCAAAAACCTTGTTCCTTGGGAAAAAATTCTTCCCTGAATTTAGCTGCCTTTGTCCTGATCCATTTCCCTTCCAGTTTGGGGCTATTATTGGAGATCACTGGAATCACTTTTGATTCTTCTCCTGAAACTGATGCCTGAACCTATTTTCATATTTCTATTTGTCAGGACTTTTTTCTTCTTCTTCTGGCTTTCCAGGTCTCTGCTTTGCGTCGTCTAGCCAAACCTATGACTGATAGGGTAGCTGGGAGGATTAACCAGAAACAAACCATGGGAGAGCCCGGTGCTGAAGTCTCCACCAGCACTATCACCTCCTTAGAGCCAGAATCAGGTTCTCGTTCTGTCTCTAGCATTGTACGCCAGTGGAATAGAAAAACCAATGCTTTGCTGGGAGATTCTCCTTCTTCCTCAAACGGAACTCGGACAATCAGGTCAGATACTGTGTTAATTCTTTGGTTATATTTCAAGCTATTCAAGGGATCTGTCAGAAAGTGCATACTTGTGTGTGTATTATATGTGGGTATCTGTGAACATATTGATATTTTTCAAGTCCAATTTTGCCTCCTGGAGCTTTGGCTTTTCCTGATAGCACTTAGCAATAGCACTTAGACTTATATACTGCTTTACAGTGCTTTACAGCCCTCTCTAAGCGGTTTACAGAGTCAGCCTATTGCCTCCAAAATATGATA